CAGAAGCAGAAGTCTGAGAAACCACCATAGCCAAGAGGAGGCTAAAAAGACAGTGACAACGAGCTGTCATGTGGTCTCCTGAATGAGATCCTGGAAGAGAAACAGGACGCATGGTAAAACTATGCAATCTAAAGAAATACTAGTAACAATGCAGCCATAGTTCACTGATTGTAACAGGATCACAGCAGTGAAACACTTTTAATTACAGCAGAAGTTAGGTATTAGCTGTACGGAAACTGTACTTTCTCGATTTTTCTATAAAAGTAAAATCATTCTAAACCATAAAATCTATTAAAAAGGGAAAAATTCCTCTCTTTTATTGCTGTTACTACTAAAGATCTTCACGGTTGGAAGAGGTATGGGACTGTTTGGGACGTTAATAAATGCTATGTGACTGAATAATAACCTAAGTTTAGTCTTAGCACAGTGCCGAGACAGGGTGGGTGTGGCATGTACCGAGTACTTCATTGATAAATACTTGCTCAGTGCTATGATCAGATCCGCTCCAGTTGTCAGTGATACAGCGGTTAATGAGACATGAGGTGCACAGAATAGGGAAGAGTAAATAAAATGCAAATTCATAAACAAGGATAAATGCCATAAAAAAAAAACCCAAAAAACCACTCACTGGGGCAAGGGAGTAGGGAATGATGAGAAGGGCAGCTAGGAAGACTTGAAAGAGGCAAGGGAGCCCAGGTCAAGAGGATGTGTCTGAGGGCTGAAGCCCAATGGCTGAATGGGGACTGGTAGGAGGTAAGGTCAGAGGCCTGCATGGGGTTGAGATGAGGCAAATGTCTCAAAGACCACAAGAAGAAATTGAATTTTACTCTTGGTGTGATGGAGAGCTTTAAATGGCAAAGTGACCTTCTCTGGTCACTGTTAAAAGATTATTTCAGTGGCTGTATAGAAAGTAGAACATAGAGGCTTAGGAGAGTAGGCTATTGCAGTGGTCAAAGCAGTTCAGTAGTGACCATGAACGTGATAGAAATCATGGAATTGGGGGCATAATTTGAGACAGAACTAACAGGCTTCACTGAGTTGGAGTGTGTGAGAGAGGACAGCAGGGACTCATAGACCAACCAACAAAAACAGGCTGGAAGTAGAATCAGAAGTCAAAGCTGTGTAACATTGTACATGGCACTCAAGACCTTGGTCCAGGTGTGGTAGCTCATACTTGTAATCCTAACGACACAGGAGGCAGAGATAGGAGGACCACATTTAGAAGCCAGATCAGGCAAAAAGTTAGTGAGACCCTACATCAACAAATACGGCTAGGCGTGGTGGTACATGACTATGATCGCAGCTACTCAGGAGGTGGAGGTGGGAGGACTGCAGGCAAGAGTGCAAGACTCTAGCTAAAAACAAACTAAAGCAAAAAGGGCTGGGGGCATAGATCAAGTGGTAGAGTGCTAAGCACAGGCCCTGAGTTCAAACTTTAGTACAGCCAAAAAAATGACCTACAGACCTTGACTGTCCTCAGAGGCAATCAGTTAGAGGATGACCAAAGACTGAGCATTTTGCCATACAACATCATCCTTTTGTTCAGGCTTGAGAGCAAAGGGAACTGCAGGAAATGGTGTCTCTTGAAGAGTGAGGATCCTTGCTTCCTCTCCCTGGTAGCTGGGAGGCTGCCAAGTGCAACGGGTTTCTGTATTGTCTCCCTCCCCTCTCCCCATTCTGGGAGGGCAGCAGCTCCACTCACTGTTGTACAGTGAGTACCTGACATTTGCATAGCAACTGTGGCACACAACGATAGAGGGACACTACAGAGCCTTGAGGTGTCCTGAGCTACTGCAAAAAGAAAACAGCCACATGCAGTGCAAGCCAGAAGAAAAAGAATACAGTTCAGGAGAGGGCGGAGGGTTGAGCAATCACCAAGAGCCCCGGATGGAGCCAGTGATTTTGCAAGCCACAGCCCAAAGAGCTAGAATAGTCACTGCTGGGATCCTGATCTCATCATGGGATCATCAAATGTCAGAGCTGGAAGAGATCCGAGAACACTTTTGGGTTGATCTGCTCATTTCACAGATGGAGAAAGCAAGGTGAAATGACTGGCAACCAGAACCCGATGCTGAATTCCATATAATGTGTTCTTTCTTATGCTGTACAGATTTACAGTTACAGTAGGTGTCCTTTCCCATAGGAAGGCTCAAGGAGGAGTTTTCAGAAGTAAGATGGAAAGATAATCTTCTAAAGTCTAACATCTATCCACAAATAAAATTCCTATTTTGGAATTCAGTTCCATCAAAAAAATATCTTGGTAAACTTTTCCTCTTATTGTTCAATGAAAATGAGACGGCCCATCAGGGTTCCCTTTTTGACACGGCTGCTAGGAAGCTTACAGCTAAATTTAACACTTAGTCCTCCTAATAACAGTGGCCTCAGTTTTTGACAAACAGTACTTATTTCTCCCTCCTCTTTATGACTTTTTATATGTAGCTATTTCAAAGGCCTTATTGTATATGTGTCTTTTACTATGTGTCATCTCAAATTTTTGTTGGAAGTCAGCCAGGTATAAATCACCAATAAGCCCAGAGAGAAGGAGGATTTCATTTCTCTTGTGCCACTAGGGTTGCCACTCCCAGTATGGTGTCCATTTTCAGATCTTACCCTTGACCTAAAACCTCAGTCCTTACCTCCCAGCTCTGTATTTATAGAGAAAGGAGGCCATCACAGGACAGATTGAATACAAATGACTAGTTCTAAAATTGTAGGATCTGCATCTAACTAAGCAAGCCTTTGGAAACTTCTCTGAAATGAAAACAAGCTGTGTTTCAGGGCAGAACTGTGTTTTCCGCATTGATGGGGCAGAACGTCACTTACAGCAGGACCCTGGGGAGGTGAGGCAGCCTAGGTTGTGCAAGGTCAGCAGGTTGGTGGGCTGTGTCACATCTTTGGGCTACAAATCTGACCCTCCCCAGGCCAGAAAAATAAGATCACATTGACTTCCATCTCTTCTGGATTCTGACCACATAAAGAGATTAAAGCACTGGTTTTTCTGAAGCCATGAGTCTTTCTCTTCTCTCCCTAAATGAAATTCCTCCTAAGCCACAAAAATTTAAGCCAGGCAGAATTAAGAAAGCAATAAAGGAGTCCATGCAGAGATCTTTCTCCTGCTCCCCGTCTGTTCCAGAATCTTCTGTTACCATTTCTGTTGAGGTAGCAAAAGAAATAAAAAATAAGTCCCAGCAGATGTCAACTGTTTATGCATTTGAGCCTGAGACTTCCTGTAGCTCTTTGTTTTTTATTCTTTCCCGAGTTTGTAAGTTTTATTCTTTATTCCTTTGGTGTTGGCATGATTTCCATGATCATCTAAGAGATATGTTCAAAAGAAAAATGACTTGGAGTACTGCTGCTTGTGGAAATAGACCTCGCTTGTCTAAAGCATGCATTTGGATTCTGTTCATGATCGCCTCCTTCTCAGAGACAATTTGTTCAGATACAGACAAGGAGATGCTGCTCCCAAGGTTTCCAACACCTTGAAGAATGAGACACTTCCAAAATTTTGCTGCTCTGTTAGAAAAACCTCGGTACCATTATGAATCACAGGCCAGACCGTGGTATGACATCATCCTAGCAGGCCAGGGCCACCCTGATCCCATGCTGTTGGGTCTTCATCCTCACGTACCCCACTATCTGTGAACCTTGGACAAACTGTAATCCCATGCAACAGTTTCCTCCCCTGGAAAGTGGAGGTGAGACAGCTGCTTCCTTCACAGAGCAGGCTCTTCATCTTTGGTGTGTATCAAAAGGAATGGTAGAAGTGAAAAAGCAGATTACTGACCCCACTCCCATGGTTTCTGATTTTGTGGGGCTAGGCCCAGATATAAACTATTTTAAGAAACCTCAGTATACAGGAGCAGAAACTCTATTAAGTTCCTAATAGAAATATTCTTATTTTAAATAGCTCATACATTCAGAACTTGTAAAGTGTTGGAAATATTTAAAAGTGAGTCTGAGATTGTTGGGGCTTTTTTCTCCCTAAAACTTGCCAGCACCCATCTGTGCATTTATTACAGGCAGAAGAGAACACAAAGCCAACACAGCTACTTCTCGAGGTTTTGTGTCTTTTCTCTTAGCTACAGTAAAAGCGCCAAAACACTTAGTCATTATGGTGAAAAAGAATTCTTCAACTCGTTTCAAGTTAATTAAGGAGCCCAGCAAACCCAGACTTTGCAAAGGCAGTTAGAAAGAACAGCTTGGAACGAGCAGAGGAAACACACCCACTACAAGACCAGAGAGATCGTTTAAAAAAAAAAAAAAAAAAAGCTCTCCACAACAAAGGAAATGAACGCAAATCCCCAACCTGCCTATGGTCCAGCGACCCTAAGGCCAAAGAGAAAACGCTCAGATGAAAAGGCTTCGTGTTAGACTTTGTGTAGAGAAAGGGAATCTCAAACAGAAAGACGGAGGTTAAGATGTTTTCCTTGTAGGACCCTTGGACCTTGCTGGAGCCCGAAACAGACGAGGAACGGGACCCCCCCCCCCCCCAACAACGCCCCCAGTCTGTCCTTCCCTGCCACGCATCACTCCTTCCAAGGGGAAGACTTTTCCAAAACCGTGGGGCCAGTGCGTCCTGCTCTAAGCGCGGGGCTGGGTACTCGAGGTTGAACGAATCTTGGAAAACATCTAACTTTTCCAACTCAATCAGATCGAAGTTTTCGGTATGAATTCTCCAGTGAAACACAAGAGTGAGATAAAGCATTCTTGCTTCGTGATGGCTTTTGAAACAAAGGGCACATGTGTGCGAGAATGCAAAGAGTCACCCTGAGTGACAGTTAAACCAGACGCACACACAGCCACTTTCCCTGACACTCCTGCACAAAGGTACGTGGTGACTCGCCCGGTGCCATCAGGGGGATTTCCCAAGGTGGAGGAAACCGAAGTGCGCAGCCCGTGAGGAAACTTGAGCCTGGCCCTAAGCCACCCTTGAACTTGGCACGGGTGGAGGGAGAGGGACACGGGTCCCCAGATGGGATTCTGGGGCTGCCACGACTCACCTCGCCAACTTCTCCAGGCTCGCCGCGCCCCGGCGACCGGCTCGTGGGCGCGGACGCGGGGGCCGTCGCCTCCGAGCCCCGGGAGGGACGCCCGGCCCGGGCAGGAACGCAGGGACTGGCGCGGGGCGGCGCTGCGGGGCAGACGCGGCGCGCGCGGGCGGCGCGGGGACCCCGGGGGGCTCGGCGCGGCCGGCGCGCAGGGACAGCAGCGCGAGCAGCAGCGCGGCCAGCGCGAGCAGGAGCAGCGCCGCCGCCTTGCTGCGGAGCTTCATGATGCAGCGCGGTCCCTCTGCGCATCGCGGCGCGCCGAGCGACGGCGGACGAGCGCACAGCGCAGTGGCCGTCTCTTGCGCTGCCCGCCCGGGGACTGGGGTCGTGGCGACTGGCAGCCGCGGAGGAGGAGAGGAGGGCGGGGAGCAGGCGCGAGCGCGGCTCCGGGAGGGACGGCCCTCCCTACCGTACTGTGTGGAGTAGCCGCCCGCCACCCACCCGCCCGCGGCCCTGCGCGGGGCTTGAGTAGCGCGCGATCAGACCCCTGCACCCACCCACCCACTCATTCAGTCTCTCACCCATCCCGTCCATCCACTCCTCCATCTGATTCTCTCATGCCATGCACTTTCCTGCGGTTTATTTTGTCCATCTGTCCACGCACTCAGGCATATATCCACACATGCACTCAGGCAGGGACATCTCTGTCCCGTTTGCACAGGGCAGGGCTCTGCACATCGTGTTGGACAATAATTATCCGTTGAATAAAATTTAGATCCATGTAGTCTAAAGAAATTACAGAATGGATTTCAAAGTCTAGATTTCAAATCTGACACTGTCACTGGTTTGGAGACACCCCCCCCCCCCGCAAGCTGTAGAACTTTCTTAAGCCTTCTTTTCCCTACCTTCATTCCTAAAATGGAAAGATTAAGCAACTCACCCCAAAATGCAGGCATTTTGTGGGCATCAAATCAAGTAATGCATATAGAGGAACTGCATGGTGCCTGGCTCACAATAAGTGCCCAGGAAAAGTTTTGTGATAAATAGTACAATAAAACATAGTTTATCATATATACATAAGTGCACATTTTATTTTCTGTCAGAGATTAGAGTACTAACTTCACAGCCCAACATAAGAATGGATTCTTCAGAGACTTTCACAGCTACCATCAGCAGATCAAGGTCAGAATTTCCTACCTGTTCTCCCAGGGTGTCCCAGTCATGGGACATATCCTCCTATTAACTCCATGAGCTGCCAGCCAACCTTCTATTACCTCTCTGTGGTACAGCTGCAGAACAAAGAACACTAGTTTACAAAAAAAAAAAAAAAAAAGTTCCTGAGTTTCTACAGGGCTCCATGTTGCCTATAAATCATCCAAAATCCAATTATATTCCAAATTGCTCTTAATTCTTTGGGAGCCCATTGTACTTTGGGTTCCAGAAGTGAGAATATTAACCAGCCTGGAACCTCTTGCCAAGCAGACATCTAGGAAATGGCTGAAATGTGGGTGGCAGATGCAGCTGGAGCGCCAACACACACATTCCAGGGGTTCTCCATGGGGCAGGAGAGCAAAGCACCTGGAATTGTGGGATGGATGCTTTAGCTTGTCACAATAGCTGGCCAGTTCTACTGGCATATTGCTAACTGTACTACAGGACACTGAGCATAATAATAAAAATAATAACAATAATTGCCTTAGGACAAAGGCCAACATGGAGACCCTGTTGAGAAATACTGGGTCAGGCAAAAGCCCAGTGTTTAGGCCTTTAGAGTTAGAAATGCTAGAATTATTTTAGTGTTTTCTCTGCCTTGCCACCTCCCCCTCCTCACAAAGGACACATACAACAAGGACAGCATAAAGCCTTGACAGTAGCCAGGATTCTGGCTTCAAACACCAAAGCAGAACTTGGAACAGCTAGACTGAACCAAACAGAGGACTCAGTCTCCTTAAACTCTGTGGAAGTGAAAGATAATGTATGCTTTACTTTCTTCCTATAAGTCCAAATCCACATTTTGGATTTCACTGCTCTGATTGGTAGAAAACACCAATCTCTAATGTCATGGAAAAGCAATTCCAGATTCTGGCAACCATGGCTTACCCAGTATCTCACTTGGATATTTAAGAGACAAAATGCTTCCTTAGTCCCCTCCAGTCCCTCACCCCCAAAATCTGTTTCTTCCTCTGGAATCTGGACATCTCTAGCTCAAATCAGAAGTTAGGTGAGAACCATTTGGTGTCCCTTGCCTCCAACATTATTTGCCACTTCATAACAAACTACTCCAAAAATTTAGTGGCTTTGGACAATATACATACAGTCTCACAGTTTCTGTGGGGCAGGAATTGGGCACAGTTTAGCTGAGTCCTCTTCTGTACAGATTCTCATGAGGCTACCCTCAGGTGTTCACCCAAGTTTGTGTCTCATCTGAAAGGTCAAGCAGGAAAGGATCTTCTGCCAATCTCATTCCTGTAACTCCTGAAAGATCTTGTTTCTTTGACGTTACTGTGGGACTGAGGGACTCAGTTCTTAGCTGGCTGTTGGCCAGAGTTCATCCTCAGGTTGTTGCTAGGACACTCCCTCTCTCCCCACTTCCCCTCAATCATGGCAAGCACACAAGAAGAGCCAGACAGGCAATGCCAGCAAGATGGAAGTCACAGTCTTTTACAACTTAATATTGAAAGTGACCCCATCACTTTATTGTATTCTACTTGTGAAATCCAGGCCACCCTCAGAAAAGGGTGCTTAAATACCAGGAGGTGGGGACTGCTAGCAGCCATGTTAGAAGACTGCCTCCCTCACCTTGCATGGCCAAGAAAACAGTAGGCTCTGTTAGATCTACCTCCAAAACCTAACTGGAATCTATGCAGAAACCTCTGTAGGAATGGGTACCAAAGAAGAAAAACCAAACCCTAATTGACAAATTGCTGGAGGCTCAGTGTGGGCAGGACTAGCCACTCCAGGGGTGGCTAGTCTTAGGAGCCCTACATGTTTGTGAGGTTCACTCCAATGGCTTGATCAACCAGGTGCTCACATTGATTGCTGGAGGAAGTTCCTCTCCTGCTTCCAGCATGGAGACAGGAAAGCACATCAGGCCTTCCTAACAAGGTCTGCTACCAAGACAAATTCTGTCAGAGCCTAATTTATTAGGGGTGTATCAGAGCCCAACCAGCCTGGAAACGGGAGAATACTCAGGTTCAGCCCATTTTAGTCATTTTGTCTCCCCTAAGGTTGGGGTTAGGGGGCTGAGAAGCCTTGTGAAGTTCACAGCTGAGGGGCACAGCTCATTAAAAGACTGAGACCTGATTACATGACTATGCAGTCCACATGACTGATCCACATGGTCTGAGCACATGACTGATCACATGACTATGCTGTAGTGGTGACCATGCCTCACCACTACATCCCTAAAGGCCTGTTTGCCAGAGTTCCTTTATCTAGTACACTATGTTTGACATTCGGCAAAAAATTACAAGGCATACTAAAAGGCAGACAATGCAGTTTAAAGAGAGAACATCAGCACTGGAACAAGACTCAGATAAAGTGCTGATGCTGGAGTTATCAGTTGGAAATGAAAACAACTGTGTTTCGTATGCTAAGGGTGCTAATGACAAAAGCAAGACAACATGTAAGAACAGATGGGTGATACAAGCAAAAAGATGGAAATTCTAAGAATCAAAAAGAAACACTAGAGATTTAAAAAAAAAAAAAACTGGAATACACAGGAAGAATGTCCTTAGTGTGCTTGTTTGTAGACTGACCACCACTGAGGAAAGACTCACTAAGCTTGAGGATATGCCAACAGAAACTTCCAAAACTGCAAAGCAGAGAGAAAGAAGACTGAAAAACTGGAACAGAATATCCAATAGGGGCAGGACCACTACAAAAGATAAACACATATATATAATGGCAACATCAGAACAAAGAAGAGAGAAATAAACAGGAGAAGTGTTTGAAGCAACAATAACTAAGAATTTCCCCTAAATTAATGGCAGATACTAAACCACGGATCCAAGAAACTGAAAATACCAAGTGGAGTAAATGTAAAAACAAACAAACAACAAAAAAACAAAACCAAAGTATACCTGCAAATTCCATCTACAGAAAATCAAAGGTAAAGAAAAATATTGAAAGAAGACAGAGGATAAAAACACCTTGACTAAAAAAAAGCAAAGATGAGGATTACATCTGACTTCTTGGAAACTATGCAAATGAGAAAAGAGTAAGCAAAATATTTAATGTGATAACCTAGCTTAAAGTCTAACAGACTCCATCTTGTCTCTCTATCATTTTGAAAGGTGAATTGGCTGAGTGTGTGTGTGGTTAAGTGGACTCCCTGGTTTTACAGAGTCACCTGATCAATAGATAGTCTGCTGTTAGCCACAGAACAACCCTCCCTGCAGCCTTCTTCCCTGCAGCCCCCTCCCAGCCAATCCAAAGATTTCAAAACAAGTGGTACAAGATTGGGCTGCATCTCTGACTCCTTAATGACCTCCTTCCCGTCCCTGTGGGAACACCCCTTTGGTCTGCCCTTCACTTACTTTGTGCCCAAATGATGACTTCTTGTCCAGAAAAAAACACTTCCCTTATTTATATGATAGCTTCTTTTCCAGTTGACAAAATGTTGAGATTAAAAAAAAAAAACACCAGCCTAGAATTCTGTATCCTGTTAAACTGTCCTCTAGACTTTCTTAGATAAACGAAAGTTGAGGTGACTTGTTGGTAATAGACCTCTCCACAAGAGGAGTTTGAGAAAGTTCTTCAGGAGAAGGAAAATGATGATAGGTTGGAACCTTAGTTATACATGAAGAAAGGAAGAGCATCAGAGAATAAGTGAAGATGAGAAACAAATTTTATTTTTCTTATTCTTGATCTGACAGAAACAATTCAACATAATGATAGTACTTTCACTACCTGTGAAGTGGTACCGTGTTAATTGAAAGTGGAGTTGGACTGGCTGTAAATGCATATTGTAAATTCTAGGGCAACCACTAAAAGTGTTTTAAAATGAGTATAATTAATATGCTAAGAAAGGAGTGAAAATGGAGTAATTTAAAATGCGTAAAATAACCCAAGTGGGATGCATTGGCATGCACCCGTGGTCCCAGTTATGCAAGAAGCCATAGGCAGGAGGACTGCAGTCTGAGGCTGGCCCCAGGAAAAAAATGTGAGACCTCACCTGAAAAATAACTAAAAGCAAAAAGGGACCGAGGGAGTGGCTGAAGTGGTAGAGCATCTGCCTAGCAAGTGACAGGTCCTAAGCTCAGACTCCAGTACCACACAGATAATGGTAATAATAATAATAATAATAATAATAATAATCACCTTCCAGAACAGGATGCATCAACCCTGAT